GGGCACACAGTGCCGCCCCCCAGGCCGAGGACGGGGTGCCGGGCGTGGGGGAGGGCAGCACGTTGGGGGACCCCACGCGTTCAGCTGGCAGCAGGGCCGCAGGAGGCTGCTGGGCTCAGGGCTGCTGAAAGTCCAACCCTCCCGTTAAATATAAACCTGGCTCTCGCCCGGTTAACCACTCCCGGGGCCGCGGCAGGCCCGCACTCAACAGGCGAGCGAGGCAGGGTCCTACTGAGCCGCCTTCTCCCCCTGCCCAGACCCACGCCGAAATGGCCGCCGTGCCCCTTGGCTTTGACATCGATGCCCCGCGCTGGGACCAGAGCACCTTCGCGGGGCGCCTGAGGCATTTCCTCAGCATCACCGACCCGCGCACGGCACTGGTGCCGGAGGAGGAGCTGGACCGGGCCAAGGCGCTGGTGGAAGGCTGCAGGTGAGGGGCTGGGGGGCAGCCGAGCACGTCCCATCCCCGTGCCCACGGCCATACCCGACCACGGAGGGATGGAGGCAGTTGTTCCCAAGCAGTCGTGCTGGGATGTAACATCCGTCGAAGGCGATTTTGAGGGAGCTTCCCAGGCTTCTCCCGGGAGCCTCAAGCTGGGACGAGTTTCCCTCGCGGGAGATGTTCCCTCTGCCTTTTGTGTCTTGTGCGGGCGGCGTGCCCTGGTGGTGGCGGGTGCCTGTGGGCCTGCACGGCTCGCCCCAACGGGCTCTGGGCTTGCAGGGCTGGGCTGGTGCCGCCGGGAAGCAGCCAGGAGCAGTTACTCTACGCCAAGAAGCTGTACGACTCGGCCTTCCACCCTGACAGCGGCGAGAAGATGAACCTCATCGGGAGGATGTCCTTCCAGGTGCCAGGGGGCATGGCCCTCACCGGCTGCATGCTCCAGTTCTACCGGTGAGCCGCTGGGGACGCAGCCCTGACAGCCCCCAGCCCCCTGAGGGGTTCCCGATGGCTGGACCACAGCCAGTCTGCCTCCTCTGGGCTGGCTGCTGCCCGCGGCGCGCCCGCGGGCGGCGCGCG